TGACAATTAATTTCAAGAACTTCCAGTTTATTCTTTCAATTTTACTGCTCATAGATAAAGTATACCCTTACCAACCATCTACAGATTTAGCTTACCTCAAAGCTCAACAGTTAAATCCTGTTGCAGAGGCTAAATTTTACACTCACTATCCCCAGTCATCAAAGCAATAGAGTTTAGTTTTAAAGTCTTAGAGTTTTTCCCACATGCAAATAGCATGTAAATAAACCTCTTAGCTTTTTAATATTTTTTTTTAAATCTGTTGATCACTCAGCATATTTCAAGATATGTCAGTCTCTTGTTTTTTAAGCAAGAGTTGAAATAGATAGGTGTAATATTGTTTATAAGCCTATATTTGAAATGCAGAAAAACTAGAAGACTGGGGTTTTTTTAATAAAAATGTTACTTAAATCACAAGTATACACTTTCAGTGCTTTCCACATCCAAAGATTAATATTACTTCAAAAAGATACAAAATTTATCAAAGTCTATAGATGGGGAAACGGGTAGTTTCAAATATTAGGAATGGCAACTGGAAGTCACATCAGGACATATAACTTCCATGAAAACTTTTTGGTAACAATTTAAAATAAAGTAAGAAGGTTTTAAGAAAAACATCAAAGAGGCTCTAAAGGAATATATAATAGAATGGAAAATAATACAGAGGAACATTTTCTAGGATTTTCCAGCATCAAAGAGCACAGGGAGTATGATATAATACACTTTGTTAGTTTCCATTGAGGACAAGAAAGCTTTCCAAGGAAGGGAGAGGACAGACCACTATTTCTGCAGAACTTTGTCTTTCATAGGATAAGGATAATATTTTGAAAGTAGTGTTCCAAATACAAGTCAATGCAAAGTCTTTTTGCATCTGCATACAAGTATCTCAAGTGACTGCAGAGTGCAGAGAAAAAATTTAATCTTAAATTCTCATGGTTTTGTCACTGAAGAGTTTGTGACAATGAGTGAAAAGTCAGTCTACTTAAGGAAAATCTGAGGAAGTTTTGGAAGAAGAATAATAATAGACTAGATGATTTACTTTGTGCATCCAATCTTTTAATCTTCATGCAGTTAGCGTGCTTTTGTCAGCTAAGAATCTAGTTTTGCCACTTTCTTTTTAAACTGAAAAGTCCAACACATACGAAGAACTTGTACAAAGAAACTGATAGTCTGGTCTTGATCAACTTAGTTGACAGTAACATAATGAAATAAAGACATTGTGAAGACATATGTTTGCTGTCTCTTTTTCAACTTATAAAATATCTGGAAAAGATTCCACAGAGATGTATATTAGTCAGATTTAAACATATTGTAAAATGAGTCTACACTGAAATAATGGAAATTAAAAACTTGGTTACTTTTAAAAGCTCTAACTAATGTTATCAAACCTGTTGTATGCTTTCATGTAGTCATCAGAAAAGTACTAATACCACCAAATTCAAATTCCATTAGAAATTCTTTTGAATTGGAATGCTCTGCTGTTGGCATACATCTAGGCATACAGATGAAGGAATTGTAACTGATCTAATGGAATGAAATGGGTCATTCAGTTGGAGGGCAGTGTGTTAATAAAAGTATAGGAAAAATTAAAAACTCATTAGTAGCTTCAGTGACCAATTTGTGAAATGTTTGAACTTTGAGATAGTTGAAGTCAGTTTTAGATTCTACAATTTATTGTAGCATGGACTGATGGAAAATTTGTCAAGCAAACAGTATATAATTAAAGGTAGTAGTAGTAGTAGTAGTGAAGAGTTCTTATTTTGTAAAGAATTTACTTGACTTAAAAAATTACAATTTTTCCATTTCTTTATGATAAGAATAATTGATATAAACCTAAAAAGGAAGAAAACCTTACAGCAAAGTATGGAGTGTAATGAATATTTATGTTTAAATTTTGCAGCTAAGACATTATATTCTTCTTTCTTTCTTGTAAACTAATTCACTCAGATATTGGTTTTCTTGCCCAGTGAAAAATTTAGGTAGCTTTTAAATTAATATTACCGAAAATATTCAACATCTTTTTAGGTACCTTGGTACATGTTTGGATCATTTATTCACTCAGAATCAACTGCTTTGCAGTCCCCCAGAAAACTGGATATTCTTAGCACTTCACAAAATCATGATGTTTAGAAATCAGGATCAATCCCATTCCTACAGAAGAAAATTTAGTGAATGCAAATATCACCATGTTTACTCCTGAAAATAGAAATGAAGCTACCTTTTGGGATGTGTAAAATTTTGTGTGCACTCCTGACATAGCTGAGCTGTGTTATGACATAGCTGAGAACAATTTGAGTCTTGACACCAGTAAGCTTGAAAAGCTTCCCTCAAGGCAATATAAAAACTGAGCTAGTTTCAAATGGTTAAAATGGAACGAAGTTTACCATGATCAGCAGAAAAGCATTCCCATGGTATCAGCCCACATGACAGAAAAAGAGCTGTAGTAAAAAGTGTTGAATTGTAGTTCTATATCCAGCCTGCAGTTCTAAAATGCAAACTTTTCTAAAGTTTTCAGTGCTGTTGAATAGGCAATGAACTGTGGATTTGGAGCAGTACAAAGACTTATTTTTTAAAAAAATGGCTTGTCAGTAAGTGTAAACAGATGCAAAGTTATGCACAAGTGACGTGTGATGCATCTACAGCCATAGCTTTACAAATTGTTGCTTTGCTTCAGTTTGAATGAAGACTTCTTTATGGCAATTTTAAATGAAACTTTTTAACCGTGCAGCTTTCATATGTCAAGTTCACTGAGATTTCTGCTTTGAGACTAGTTCTCTTCAGTCTTGAGAAGTCAGATTCTAGGGCTACTCATATTACTGCTTTATATTTGTTTTTCCCAGCAAAGGAACAAATTTTTTCTGTTAGTAGTAACTGCTATCTTATGTTTCCCTTTCTTTTCTCCTTCTCTGCCTCTTTTCTTTTCTACTTTTTCCTCCTTGATGCTGATAATTTCAAGAAGCAAATGAATAAACTTTTCTTCTGCCTTTGTTTGTGCTAGAAATCTAGCAGTAATTGGTGCACCTTTAAATGTTATCTCACTGCTGAAAATATAATGAACTTCCTCCTATGTAACACTTCCAGAAATTTAAAAAAAAATCTCATGACCAAATTATAATTACAGCAGTTTTTCTATTAAGAAGAAAAGCATCAATTAACCTCTGTATATTAAAAAAGAAATGTGCAGTTGGTGATTTTACTAATTACAGAGGATTGGGGCTCACCATATCTTGTAAAAGCACTAGCAAGAAAATCAGTCAGTTAGGGCTAAGGGTAATTTCTCTATTTATTCCTATTTTTATATGCAAACAAAAAACAACCAACAAACTAAGGCTAAATTAATTTTTTTAACAAAGTCAGTCTGATGACTGATCAGCAGATTATCCTATTTAACACTGTAACCACTGCGTTCACATCTGTTAGGATTACAAAGATTCCAACTGCCTAGAATTTGAAGGTAAAATAAGTAGCATCTGAAAGACAAGTACCACTGTTACATGTGAGTCCTCTTCCTGGAATAATTGGGAGTATTAATTGTGTTGCTCTCTGTTGCCTTAGACTTGGCATGCACACTGTCTACAAAAAAGCAGAGCATGCCAAGTCTGGTCAGCATCAGTCAGTCGCAAAAACTTCAAATTAGAGACAAAATTTCAAGAAATACAGTTGTTAAATGTCTGAAGCATTTGAACTGGGATTTTGTTTTGGTGAGATTTCATAAATGGTTGTTGCAAATAAAATATTTCTTAGTTAACTTTCAGAAAACAAAGCTACTTTTTTTCTAAGCTAAAAATTCTTTTGAGAAATATCAAACTCACATGATCAATTTATGAAGTGATTAAATCACAAAAGGTTATCTGTGTTTTTTCTCCTTCCAAATATTTAGAGTGTCTGCAGAGCAGCTGACTGTGTGACTTCTTTTTTTTTCTGAATAAGTTGAGCAAAAAAGCCCAGAGACATAAAAAGAAATTTGTTTGAAATAAAGGTTTTTCTCATAAAGACTATATCTAGACTTAGTAGCTAATTGTGGTATGAAAGCACTACATCATGATCTACTCCTGTCACTGTTTGGAATAAGGTTTTTTCTGCATCATATAGGAAGAAGTAATAGTCAGTCGTTGCAATATATGCAGATAATTGTTTATCTCAGTCCCTTACTCGTGGTGACCCTAGACAAGCAACTTTCCCTTAGAATGCTCCTTGATTCATCAAAGTGGGAAACTGAGATTCTCACAAGGTAATGGTATAATCAAATTTTGCAAAGCACTTTCAGATTACCAAAAACAGTTGAAATAAGTTAATTTATCTTCAGAGAGGTTTCAAAAGCCATTGTGTGGTTCTGAATTTATTTCGTAATTATTTTCATACAACATCGCTCAACATATATATTTTATAAAAGGTATGACTGGTTTTTGTGCATATATTGCTTTTCTTCGTCTCCTCCAGCTTTTCTTTTAGACTACTAGCCCTGAGTAATTATAATTTTGCATCTAATTAATTTTACTGTTGCTTAACTGCATCCAGTTAAAATGTGTTTAAAATCTTTGATATAGGTAGAAAAAAATTGGCTGTTTTCCTGTGTTTTTATTTATTATGCAGAACCACCTGTTATTTTGTATTAAAAACATTGATTCATTGAGTTTGTTTCTCTCTTTATACTTAAGCATTTTTAGGAAACACTGTATCTGTTGAGTAAGTTTTTGTTATTGTTTTAGTCTCCTTATTTTTTCTCCTGACTTTTTAAACTGTAGCATATACATCAAGTACAAAAATGCTAGAGTGGATAATCGATACAGAAGTTGAATTGCTTTATAACTGCTTTTATCAGCATATAGTTTAGTGTGCTGAGACTGACACGGAAACCAAGAGACTTTCCATTAGTGCTCTTCAGTGTCTTCCATGTAGCCTGTATTTGAATGTTACCTTTCACCATACTGAAATTAGGCTTTTAGTTATAAGTTTTAACATCTCTACACAAACTGAATCCATTTCTGCTTGAGGAAATGCACCTGTGTTGTTGTGTTTGATCCCAGACTCACTCGTGACTCAAATAGTAGAAGCACCTGGAAGAGAGAGAGAGAGACAGACAGACAGGGGTGTAGGCAGGGTGAGAGAGAGACAGGAGTGGTGATTTTCTGCTGTCCCAAGACTCTTTTATCCTTAAGACCATTTCTGAGGGCAGTTTGTCTTCACAATCTTTCAACCACATAAATGATATAAACCATATAAATGATACATATATCTTATCATGATATGCTACACCATTTTTTGTTTTTATTTTTTGGCACAGAATTCTACTACTAGACTCAAATAAATGGCTGTATCTACAGTTGCTGTTAATCTTTCCCTGAAAGTATTTAATACCATACACACACACACACACACACACACACACACACACACACACACACTTTTCTCATAATCTGAGTGTTTAGTTTGCCTGAGAAGTCATGCCAACTTTATTGATTTTATAAGGATTTGATGGTGTAACAGCTTCATGTAAATCTGTTGGTATGCAGTATATGCCAAACAGTAAACTCCTCCTCTTTACAATACTATAACAGACAAATTGTCTCTATTTATAATCATTAGAGAATACTTGAAATTTCTGTGCATTTGTTTTCAGACTACAGTATGTGAATGAAGCAAGTTTTTTCTTGTTATAATTCCTTTATTTTCAAATTTTAATTGGCACAGTTCCTTTAATTTTTTCTTGCACTCAAGTCCATCACAGAATACCTCAATATTGATGCACTGATGAAACCGATCCTACTACTTCACCTTTATCAATGTTTTAGTCACTTAAATACATATTCAGATACATTTCCAGAGAGACCTTCTGCATTAAGTTTTCTGTAACATTTTGTCTGCTTTCTGTAACAATCCTGATTATGTTCCTTTCCCATAAATATAAGTCATTTTTCACCCTGCCCTCAGAATTTTGCAAACACACACTAGCCTTTTTTGTAAGATTGGCTTCCCTCCTGTCCAAAATCAGGTCATTTAATAACAAGAGTTGGCAGCATTTCAAAGTCTTATACTTTCAGGACTTTGAAGATTACAAAGATTCTCCTCTGCTGTATTTTGGAGTTCCATTTTATTAATCAGACAGAAAGCCATTTTGGCCAAAGTTACTTAGTCATTTGGATGATATGGTGTAATTTGAAATGGGCAAATCCATATTTCTCATTAGGATAAAATCTTTGATATTGATGAATGATTAATGGACTGCCGATGTAAACTATAATATTTCTGTATTAGCTGGTTTTGGGTCAAGAATTCATGAATAAACCAAATTAACACAATGCAGTATATATTACTGAGACAGAAAAACGCAGTGCTCAAAAAACTCCCATCCAGTCCATTTAAAAAATGCATTCCAACATATTTTCATTTTTTGTTCATATAAATAGTACTATTGACTTTTTTCCATATGAAGATACAGATTAATCTAGGTCCTACAAGTCAAATTTTATTAATTTTAATAATTTCTAAGAAAACAGATGGTGTCTTACACTTAACTAGATGATTTTTTTTTTTTGTCTATCAATTATGCCAGACAATTATGCCAGAATTGTAATTGGTCCTGTCAAGGATTCAATAAAATTTCACAATTTGTTTTCATTATTATTGAGCAAAGTCTCTACTGAGTTTTAGATATGAGAAAAAAAAAAAACTGGCAGTGGGGACAGAAGGAATCACAATCTGAAGTTGTAGTTAGTGCATGGGATTCCTGGAATGATGGCTCATGCTGCTGTTCCAGGGCATGGAATGTTAAGGATTGAAGAAGATGACACTAGGGAGATTTGACTGGGTGCAGGAGGAGGAACTGAAGAATAAAGAGTACTAGGCATATATGCTATGCCAAAAATACATTTAATTCATGTTTCTAAACAAGTCAGGGACAGATTTAATTCTTTGGGGTTCAAAAGTGGCCATTCAAATATGCGTAGACAACGAATTGTTGCATTACAGAGCTGAATTTATTGAGAATTCAAAGTATTCATTTAAAGATGAAAATATTAAATCTTATATCCCTATTTTACTAAAGTAGCAGCTCTGATGTGCAATTTTAAGACAGGAAAATAAACATATTAAAAAATTGAAACACCTGTTCAGGGATGAGAATTTGCTGCGGGCATGGGAAAAAAAAGGAAAATAAAGCCGGCTTATGCATGATGAAAGCTTTTTGCTTTTAGTTCTTCAAGTGCAAATAGACTGGTAACAATTGCTTTGGCAGCAAGCTGCAATATATTTCCTACTCCCCTTTTCATATCAGACAGTTCATGTTTTCCTCATGTACCTCTAGGAGGTTACCCATACATTTTTATGAACATTCTTCTGACAATAGTACAGAAAAATATTCATCCTTTGAGAGAAGAGCAGAAAGAATTATAAATATGCAGCTGGTCAGCCTATATTCTCAGTGTTAGTCCTTAGAACCTATTTTACACTTAGGTTGCCAGGCATCAAAGTAAATCAGACATTGGTTCTGAGAACATTTTTGTTAAAGTGTTTCATCGATGATTAGCTATGATTTCTGGTGATACTTTTCAAAATAAAGGAGCAGCCTGAACAGGAGGCAGTTACTCATTCCTTTGTTCCATGATGGTCTTCACTTGTATGAGCCTTCCACACTCTGATGAACTAAGTGATAATAACACTAGCTCCACTCAACAGCTTCTTCACTGGAATTTAGCAGTTTACAAAAGTTCCTGAAAGGTTTAAGCAAGAACTACCATTTATTACCATCCACAAAGTCATAGATTAAGAAATTAAAGGGTAGCTGAAAGTAAAGTTTCATCTAAAGCAGGGTCAGTTTGCATACTAGAGGCAGTGAATAGCTTTCAGTTCTAATTAGTGTATTAACTTAGCAAATAGATGACTTCCAACCTTTAATTTCCTTTTAAAAATGAATAGTTTCAAGTTCCTTTCCAAATACATTTCTACATAAACTCTTTAACACTTGTTTCATATATATCTATACTGCTGTTCTATATAGGGTAAATGAAGCAGAAGGCAGGTTGCATTTATCCTATGACAAGATGAAAAGCTGATTATGCAGATGAGTGCAGATGAAGTGGAAACCTCTCAGAGATTAGGTTTTGCTCTCAGTGTGTCCTACATTGCAGCCTGACATAATTGTTTCATGTTGGTTGCTTTCTGTGAATTCTGTCTCCATACAAACCATATGCTTGCAGAAAGGGGAGTTACTAACAAAGTAATTGTTAACCTTTGTTTGAAAATAATAAACATCAGAAGAGCAAGATGTACTTTCAGCCAAGGTTTTTTCCATTCTCTAGTCTGCAAACATGTCTCAATATGCAGAGTATGAGCTTGTATAGGTGCCCAACTGATGGACAGAAAATCTCAGGTAAAAAAGAGAAAACCTCAATTTGCTAAGATTTCAAAAGGAAAGGAAGCTGTGAGAGGTCTAAAGTGACAGGAATCTAATGTTCCCTAATATTTCAAATAGAGGTTGATGTTTTCTGCTTAAGTTCAGCAAAATCATAACTGTTTATGAGAAATCCGCACCGTGAGCTAATAAAGAATAAACTAATTAATGAAGCAGAACCAATGTGACATTTTCAGGAGACTGGAGGTTACAGTGTTATGTCTGAATACAGAGAAGGGTCTTAAACACCAATGGTATTCAGAAGACCATTTCTTTCTCCCAATTGCATTGGTTACTAGAAATATTTTAACCCTAACTGTTACTTCTGAATTGTCTCTAATATTTTTACCTAAGTAAGTTGTTCCAAAGACCTTTTGCTTCTTTTATGGTGTCCTCTAGAATGGAAAACTTTCAGAGAACAGTAGAAGGAAGATTACTTGTAGAAAAGTAACATTCAGACCAATAAACTGTCCTTGCTCCATCTAAAACTCTATTCTTTGAAATAGCTAGGTATTTTACGAGGTGGTTTAGGAATGCGGCTTGTATTTACCTCTCTAAGCAGTGCTAAGAGTAAAGGGAAGGATTCCTTGTCCTCTAATGTCGCAGCTGAGAGTTATGTCTGGCTTGCTTGAGGGCTGTATTGCAATTACTGGGGTGAGCGGTAGGGACAGGATTGGCAGCGATGCTCTTCCAGGAGCAGAACAGATTTGACGGATTATGCAACGGCTGTTAATGACAAAAATAAGCAGGCTGACGCCTTGACGCGCTAGCTTCCCCCAAGCCCCCGCTCTGCCGGAGAGCCTGTCTGTGACACAGAGAGCGGCGCAGGAGCGGGGCCCTCCCGCCGAGGGCCGGGCCGCAGCGGCGCCGCCCTGCGTGCCCCGAGGGCCCCGTGCCCGCCGCCGTGCCCCGCGCGGAGCGTCCGCGCGCCGCCGCGCAGCCCGCCGATTGGTCAGACGGCCTGGCAGTCCTGACGCCCCCCCGCCGGGAGCGAGCGGCGGGGCGCGCGCAGAGCGCGGGGCTCCGCGCCGGGAATTAGCCGGGAGGCGGCAGCGGTCAGGGGGAGGAGGGGGGTGGTGGCCGGGAATAGCGTGGGGCAGCTGCAGTCCTGCAGCTACTCGGCATCTTGTGTCCTCCCCTGCGCCTGAAACAGCAGCAGGAGCATCGCAGCCCGGGGCGCTGCTTCTCGCAAGGTAATACTCCTTCGTTCGCTTGCCCACCGCTCTGCCCATCTGCTCCGTTCCCCGCAGTGGCTCTGTCGCAATCGAGTGGATTACAAAAGAAACCCACTAACTCAAGACTGCGGGAGGGGGTCTCTTTAGTCCTCGTTAGCATCTCCTCTGCTCTCTCGGTGGTTATTTTTAGATAGCTTCTGCGGGATCACGAGGGCTGGGATCTCTTAGTTTCTCTTGCAGTCCTAAGAAAGTCCGTAGCTTTCCTCCTTCCCTCTTTCCTGCCTGGGCTATTAGTGTAAATTATTACTGAATTACTTCCCCCCGCCACAAAATGACTCTTAAAACTCTTTTTCTTCTAGTCTGATGTGCGGGATACGTACAGGTAAGCGGGGAATGCGGATTGTTATAATTCTGTAGCATTTGATGGGTGCAAATGCCATCAAATGCGCTCAGGAGGGCAGATGAGTGGGAAACACGTGATTAATATTTACAGCGTTCAGACAGTCTGTTACTCGATGTCGCAAAGCTTATCGGAGTCACCGCTGCAGATGAGGTTAATGAACTGTTACCCTGCGTTAGAATGCGTTTGTATACTGACATCTGCTAATATCTTTTACATACAGGAAAAGGACACATACTGACGTTCTGGAGAAACCCTTCTCTTGCTGTTTTGCACACTCTCCTTTCTACGAATGCAATATTAAATCACATTATGATACAACAGAGAGTTGGTCTGGGAACTGTATATAATTAGTTCTTCCAGCTGTCCCACAGTCTTGTCTTGTGATACTTGTTTTCTCAAGAGTGTAGCAGGAATCATAATGAGTCCTTACTTTTCTTGTAGCTTCACAGAAAATCAATCGATTTTAAAAAGTAGCTGAGAAATTACAGAGAAGTTTTGGTTATGTTTCTGGTTTTAGTTATTTTTTTTCGCCCATCCTTTGAATTGTTCATGATGGTTTAATAATCATTTTACTTGTAGAAATGTCTTGTGCAAGTGTTATCATTAAACCATTCTGTACACATTTAAAGATATCTCTACAAGTATACCAGCAGTATTCCTATGAAGTTTAGGTAAATCGCACATAATATTCTGACACTTTCACCTTTCAGGTAGTTTGGACTGTACTTGCAGGTGAATTGGCTTGTTTGGGTAAGTTTCAGCAGAAACAGTTAAACAATTTTGGATTAAATGGAGAGTGGAAGAAAGAATAACTGCTTTTTGTATTACTATGAAAAAGAAACTGTCAGCTCATAACATCATTAAATTAACTTGAAGCACCGTAGTCAGAATGTCTAGAGATAGAAGGTTGCAGTTTGGTATGAATCAAACTATCGTGTGAGCAATGGAAATTAGTTTCGAGTTCAGCCTATCTCACTAAAAGTCAAGTGCCATGAACATGCATGTTCCTGTATGGGTTTTTTTGATAGATATATGTGTAAGGTGTACAGCTACATGGGCATGGGTGACTTAATCATGTAGTAAGTAGAGAACAGGACAATGTTTCCCTAACATTTTGCAACTTGTTAAGATTGAAATAGAGGCATGGGGAAAAGATTAGACTCTCTGTAGAGATTTTCTTACCTAGACAGCTATTTCCAGAAAATTTGAAATTTTCCTTTCAGTTTCTGTTTACAGATTTTCCTATCTCTAAAGAGGAAGCGGTAGGCAAATACCAAATAAAAATTGGGAAATATCTGTTTTTAAAAATAAATGCCAAGGTAATGAGTGTCAACTTTATGCTGACATTTGTCAGGATATAAAAATATGGTGAAGAGACATTTCTGTCTGGGATATGAGGAACTGCAGGGTGGTTTTTTTTTGATTGGGTTTGGGTTTTTTTGTTAAACTGGGAAAAGGCCTAGGGCCTTTACAATATTGTTTAACAGGGTGATCTTTTCTTAAGCTTTGGTCCTGCTTTAACTTGCACAAATAACATGTTTGAAAATGGAACCAAAAGTCAAAAGCACCCTATGCAAATAAACACAAATTATACTCTCTAGAGAGTGGTCAAGAGTAGGAAAAGAACAGCAAGAACAATCATAGAGGTCTTTGTTAAGGCTTGAGGGTTGGATGGCTATAGTATTTAGGAACTGCATGAGTTCAGTTCTTAAAAAAAATTTTCCATATGCCTTTGTGTTGCTGTTTTCAAAAATTAGCATCTCTTTCTCCACCCCATCTTCTTCGAATCTGAGAAAGTTAGTCAGCTTTTAATTTTTCTTTAGCTCTTTTGACATGAAATATATTGTTTTTCTACCTTTGATCTCGTATGACTTGAAAATATATATAATCTGAATGTATATTCCATTAGCTTTTAAGTATCTGGAAGAGTGCCAAAAACGTAAGAAACTGGCCATCTTGGAGTGATAAAATAGATACAACTCAGTGGACTCTGAACCTTAATCAAGTATTAATAGTTTCTAACATTTCAGCATGTTTTATATATTTAGACATTACTCCTTGATGACAGCCTTTCTTTTTATTAATATGTCACTGCTGTAGTTTGTAGTTGTGACTTGCACATATTTGGGTGACAGTAGGAGCAAAGACTGCATTAATATTTTAGTGACCAAGCAGAAGTTTGTTCTTGTCATTTTTCGTTGATTTTCTTAAAAATCTGATTATATGTCTAATGATCAGAATAGTTCAACCCTCCTCTGTGCAGTGGAGTCTGTAGAGCCTGAATCTGCCTGCAGTCCGAGGGAGGTTTTTTCTTTTTGCCTTGATCATTTAGCAGTCTCATGCCATTTCATTACATCTTTCCAGATTAATGTTTGTGATTTTGCTTGCCTGTAAGTGTTGCCAGACTAGATATGTGTGGCGATAATGGAGGGTTTAGTATCTCCACAAGACCATACATGTTTTGTTGATTTGGGCCCTTAGAAAATTACATAGGGCCTTTAAATTCTTATTTTTGAATTGCTTCTGTCCTCCGTTTAGAGAGTCATTGAATCTTACAGATTATTTTAAATGGCACTACTAAAATCTTGAAGTAAAATCAGTATTTATTATAAGATTTAAGTTGACAATTTTCTCAAAGACATTCTTTTTAATCCTGCAGCATTGTAAGCTTATTACATTGAAATACTGAGATTCATGTGTTAATCTTATTGCTTTTTTTCCCATGAGGGGTTTCATGTTGCTTAAGTTATAACCCCCTTGGGGGATCTATGCAACCTGTTTAATCTTAAAATAATTTGAGTTCTATAAACCCTTTAAAACATTATTATTGGTAAAAGTGCATTTGGTGTTGACAGACTTGCTGAATTTAATAAAAATTCTGTGTTCCATGATAGGACACAGACCAAGAAAATTGCTATGACATATAAACAATTAACCATTTTCAAGACTTTTAAAAAGGTTAATTCATTTGCACTTAGGACTAGTAAAGCAGACTAAATGTACATCTAAACCCCAGTACTTAATATTCTTACTTGTTCAACAGGCCTTTGGAAAACCTATAATCTCTCCTAGCAGTTGGATTTATAATTTTTTTGTTAGTTGTAGTCATATGTCAAAACCATTTAACTATGGATGAAATTCTGCTAGAAAGAAGTTGCGCTGAAGAAAACAAATGCAACCATAGTTCTCTGATTTAACACTTTTCTGTTTGAAGTGTTAATATGATCATCTCAATTATATCCCATTTTATTTAGTACAGCCAAGGTTTTCAAAACTTGAGTAACAGAATTTTTGAAACGACTCAAGATTCCTTAACAATAAAGTAATTTCAAGACCAGTAAAATTTTTGAAGGGGGAAAAGTGAAAAATATTTCTGAGTTTATTCTCAACCATTGCATTTTTTTTTAAATATGCATAGTTAAAAATAGATTTGTTAACTTGTCAAATACATTATTCCAGAAAATTATTCTTGATTCTTAAGAACTTCCTAGGGGGCAGTGTTTTTGACCTTTAGTTACAGAAAAATATATTTAAAACCTGCTGGATTTTATGGAGAGGTTCTAAGGGTCTAAAATGTTGTTATGAGAAGTTTTTTTAATTGCTGTTATTATTCTTTAAATTCTATTTCTCTTTTGTCTTCAGCACTGAAGCCTCCTTAGCACTTGCACCTCCTTTTTCACCTGGAATTGCTTCCCTTGCTCATGAAATAGCTCAAACATTTGCTGTAACACAGCCTTTTAGTTTTCTTCTTTGCTTTCCTTGAATACTGTATTGACTTTAAACTTAAGAATATATGGGCCACATATGTCTCTCAAAGTGATGTTTGGTGAAAGATCTTTGATCTGAAAGGCTATGTACTAAATGCTTCATTTAAATATCATCATGACACTAACAAGCATAGGCATTCAATAATTAAACAAATAAAAATGTACTTTCTTGCTTTAGAGAACTTAAAGATATTAATACAATACAGAACAAGATGCAGTTCTTTTTGAAATGTTGACTGTCTGGACAAGCAAAATTAAAGCTTTTGGATAAAGATCAACGAGACAACAATTGTTTTGTTTAAAAAAGGTTTATTTAATTCATGTTGGTTTTCTGTAGAAATATCCTATACTTGCTACCAGAAGTGGAAACAAATTACTGTGTATCCTGTAAAACTTACTCATTGATAAAAAATGTTTTATTTTAGGGGGTGTATTTATCTAGGTTAAAACTGGAAAAAAATCATGTGTGCAGTTTATGACCCAAATCTAACATGTACAAATATGATATTGCAAGTTCATATCTTTTTTTCACTATTAGTATGATTTGGTTTTTGTTTTACTTT